TTAGAAGGCGATTGACCCAGATCTGGCCCCCAGGCCTTAGTCTGCCTACCCATGCCCAAGATGATCAGATAGTAGGTGATGTGAATTACCAAGGATCACAACCCAGTGGAAGGTCCCAGGTTCTACCCTCAGCAATTTGAGGTAGGGCTGGGAGAGACAACCATCTGAGAGGTGCTGCCAGTAGGTATAGCCATTATTGAGATGGATAGGCCGATGGTCTAAGTCAGTGTTTCCCAACCGGTGTTCCGCGGCACACTAGTGTGCCGCGAGATGTTGCCTGGTGTGCCGCGGCGGCGGCGGCTGCTACTGCAAAGCAGGGAGAGAAGGAGGCGGCGGCGGCGGCGGGGAGCCGGGCAGGGAAGTTGCTGCTGGGGATGAAGAGGCGGCGGCAGCAGGAGGCGGACTTCTCTCCCTCTCTGGTGCTGCTGCTGTGAGGCGCTTGCCAGCCCACCGGCCCCTCCTGAGCGGGATATGGGTGGGCGGACGGGGTGGGTGGGGGAGAGGCGCCGGGCCCGCCTCGTGCCCTGACAGGAGCCGCCGCTGCGCCCGCCGGCGCCCTTGACGCGGCGCCCCTCATGCTGCCTCGAGAGGCGTTGGGGGGCAGCGAGACTCTGCCGGGCCCCGCCCCTCACTCTGCGCTCGGCTTCAGGGCTGTCTTGCGAGGGGGCGGCGGGAAAAGGCTCTGAGGAGAACCTCGCTCGCTGTCCCGCGTCGCTTTTCCTCACGTCGTTTTCCCTTTCCCTTGAGGGGACGGGGAGGTGAAGGGAGCCCGCCTTCCTCCTCGCACGTGGCGAGTCGTCAGTGGAGGTAGAGAAACCACGCACATTAGATATTCATAATAATAATAGTAATGGTTTTAAATTTAAGACTCCCCCCCTCAAGGAAAAGGCACTTCCTTGCCCTGCCCGTGGACCAGGAGGTCATGGTGAGCGAGGCCTTCAGCAGTGGGGCCCTTATTTGCGCTGCCAGCCTGACCTTCACCCTCTTACATATAGAGAGGAAAGGAGACGCGGAGGTGCAAAGGCTTGCGGGGCAGAAGTAAGCCCCGCTGAGTTCATCAGGGGTGCCAATGTGAATACAGTATGATATTGGGGGGGGGGGGGAGGCAAGTAAACCCCGCCCTGCATAGTTGATCACATTGGCAATGCCCATCAACTGGGGGACTGGCCCCCTCAAATGTTTTATTGGGGGACCTGAAGCAGTGGCGTAGCGTGGGGGTGCAGGAGGGCCGGGCGCAACATCTTGGGGGGGGGGCGCGCTCGCACTCGAGTGCTAAAATCCACGGGTTAGGGGGCACAAATTATTTGCCTTGCCCCGGGTGCTGACAACCCACGCTACGCCACTGGTCATCGGCTCCGGTTGTTGCCTTTCTCCGCCGAGGTCGGTGGACCTTGCGCCCGGTGGACATGAGCCAACAGTGTGACGCGGCAGCTAAAAAAGCCAATGCAATTCTGGGCTGCATCAATAGGAGTATAGCATCTAGATCAAGGGAAGTAATAGTGCCGCTGTATTCTGCTCTGGTCAGACCTCACCTGGAGTACTGTGTCCAGTTCTGGGCACCACAGTTCAAGAAGGACACTGACAAACTGGAACGTGTCCAGAGGAGGGCAACCAAAATGATCAAAGGCCTGGAAACGATGCCTTATGAGGAACGGCTAAGGGAGCTGGGCATGTTTAGCCTGGAGAAGAGGAGGTTAAGGGGTGATATGATAGCCATGTTCAAATATATAAAAGGATGTCACATAGAGGAGGGAGAAAGGTTGTTTTCTGCTGCTCCAGAGAAGCGGACACGGAGCAATGGATCCAAACTACAAGAAAGAAGATTCCACCTAAACATTAGGAAGAACTTCCTGACAGTAAGAGCTGTTCGACAGTGGAATTTGCTGCCAAGGAGTGTGGTGGAGTCTCCTTCTTTGGAGGTCTTTAAGCAGAGGCTTGACAACCATATGTCAGGAGTGCTCTGATGGTGTTTCCTGCTTGGCAGGGGGTTGGACTCGATGGCCCTTGTGGTCTCTTCCAACTCTATGATTCTATGATCCCGAGCCTAGGCTTCCTTCCCGCACCCCGCTTTCCGAAGACCGCACACCAGTTGGGCCAGTACATATTCCCCTCCCGTGACTGGAGCGGAATAGCCCTTTCTCTTCTTCCCCAACCCTTGTCGTTGGAGGAGTCCCTCAGTCCCTCGCTTTGCTGCCTCCTCCCCCCTCCCACCCCCAAAGCTTGGAGGTTCCCCGGCAAGGGGGAGGGGAAAAAATTGAAAGTTACACTTTCGTGCGTCCCTCCCGGCGTGACGCTGCGCGCTGACGTCACGGGGCTGTAATGGTGGTGTGCCTCGAGATTTTTTTCATCAAACAAGTGTGCCTTTGCCCAAAAAAGGTTGGGAAACACTGGTCTAAGTATAAGTTGGTTAGAGTGTGCTGCTGGTAATACCAAGGTTGCAGGTTCTATCACTGTATGGGACAGCCTCACACACCAGGGGATGGATCTTAATGGCATGGCAGCAGGAGACCAGCAGCTCACCCAGCCTGTGCAGACTGCAGAATCTAGGGAAGAAAAGGGGAAATAGTCAAGAAATGGATTCCTTGATACTCTCTATCTTTGTGCTGAATTTGGTTCCCTATGTTTCTAAATCTTGAGGGATAGCATAAGAAGCGCAATGCAGAAAGAATTAGGAATCCTACTTTGAGGGTGGTGCTGATCAGAAGGTCGGCGGTTCGAATCCCCGCGACGGGGCGAGCTCCCATTGCTCGGTCCCTGCTCCTGCCAACCTAGCAGTTCGAAAGCACGTCAAAGTGCAAGTAGATAAATAGGTACCACTCTGGCGGGAAGGCAAACAGTGTTTCCGTGCGCTGCTCTGGTTCGCCAGAAGTGGCTTAGTCATGCTGGCCACATGACCTGGAAGCTATACGCCGGCTCCCTCAGCCAATAAAGCGAGATGAGCGCTGCAACCCCAGAGTCGGTCACGACTGGACCTAATGGTCAGGGGTCCCTTTACCTTTACTTACACTTTAAATGATGACTCTGTAAAAACAAAAGATGGGACAATGGTATTGTGTAATATGAGGTAATGCATGTTCTTTGTACTTTTGTGTCAAAACAAAAAGCCTGGCCAGGACGGCTTTCCTGTTATAGCTTCTCGTGTTGACGAGGCATGTGAGCCTCACCTGTCCTGAGTCTCCTCCAGCTGAGAAATCAGACAACTCAAGCCCAAGCTAGCAAGCCACACCTGGGCTGTGGGTCCTTGCCTTCCTTCCCTTCGAACTGACAGCTGTTAGTTCTGGAATCCTGAGTTCAGGGGCGCTACGTCCCATTTTGCTCCTTGAGGCCAAACAGGGAGTGCCACCCTGCTCTGCCACCCCACCACCACCCACAGGACACTCACCACCACTTAGCCACCTACCCTTGGTGCTGCAGCAGTGCTGGCATTGGTGCCTGAAAGAGCATGCAAGATCTCTCCCAAATCTCAGTACATATTTTGCTCTCTTAGACATCTTGAAGGCTTCCATGGCATTTGGCTGCTTTCCCAGAGCACCGGGCCCCAATCGTGCAGGGTTTCAGGGATAACATGGGAGTAATTATCCCTACTTAAACCCCCAGGGTAGAGAGGGACTGGCTGCCACCCGCGGGTCATCCAATAACTGCCACTTGCTACAGAATGCGGGGGCAGGGATGCTGGGTGCTGAGAACTGCACGAATTGGAAACTCTCCAGAGCCGTCGCCAGGAGCAGGAGGATCCCTGTTTTTCAAAAATTATTAGAATTCGGACTAAGAAACAGGCATGTTCTGGAAAGGAAATTTTAAAAAAAGACCTGCTAAATAATTCAGTCACTGTGTGCCAAAGTTTTGATCTGAGATGGACTCAAGTCGTTTTGCTGTGGTTTATGTGAGGTGTGTGGCTGTTTTCTTTTCCTATACTTCTTTATTTCACAATTTGGCAAGCCTCGCTAAGAAAGATCTAATTAAACAAATGGAATGCGAGAGGATTCCATGTAAAGATCTGAGATGCTTTATGGCGCTGTCTTCTGTGGTTCTAATTAGAACTGGCAAGAAAAAGATTTATGTGCTTTTAGCTTAAGATCATAAAATGGTGAACTGTGACGCACTTGAAAAAGAAGCTTCTTTAAGGGGGCGGAAGACAGCTGATACACTAAAAATGGGGTGTATTTCACATCAAAACTGCATCTGCTTGTACGGTTTTGTATCATATATGGATTATCAAAATGAAGGTCGATCTTTGGTCCTGGCGAACCCTCCCTAGGGCCCAGGGAGAGCAAGCTTGGATCTTAGAGGAACCAAACAATTAATTGTGGAATATACTTGACGGCATCACCTTCTACGGAAGATTCTTATCTGGATTTGGGAAACATCTGCTTATTAAGGAACTTTAAAGGATAGTTGGAATACAGCCCGGAATTTTAGAGGTAAAAGCATGAAATGGAAAGGGGGCTCTCTGAGGGGATGGTGTCAAAAATGACTGATGACAATAAGAGAAAGAAGAAAAAATCCTCTTGCATGTTAACATAAATATGGATTTGTTAAATACGATGGAAAGTTGCATATCAGTGATTGTGATGATGATAAAGGGTTAACATCAGAATTATGATATTGGGAACAAACAACGGAGAAAATGCGGGAACAAGAATAAAAGACTTTCTCCTTCCAGCCAGAACATGGGAAGTCCTTTTTAAATTATATAATTTGGCATGTATAATTGGCTTTTAATTTGGAATGTATAATTGGCTTTATTATTTGTGTTATGATTTGGTATGATTTGATATGTTATTAATGTTATTAATTGGAATGTTATTAATGGAAAATTAATAAAAAATATTTAAACAACAGCATTACACTTTTGACCTCCTACATTTTCTGCCAGTGCCATGTGAGAGACGAGAACTGCATCTCTCTCTCTCTCACACACACACACACAGACACACACACACACACACACACACACACACACACAATGCATATATTGAAACACAAACTCCCTCATGAAATTAGAGATCTGTTGATGCACTTTTATGGCCAGGTGCTCTTAGAGCATTTAAGAATCAAGGAACAGTCACAACAACCCAACCAGCACTGAAACTTTCACCACACTAGGGAAGTAACATTGCATTTTAATATGGCAAAGATCTTTTCAAACCTTTGTGGATAGAACCGCTGTACAAACAAAACCAGCTTTTAGAGCACAGGTGGGGGATCTATGGCCTTCCCAGATGTCGCTGAACTCCCATCAACCCCAGCTTATGAAAGGAGTTGAAGTAGCAACACCTGGCAAGACCTTTTCACCAGACCCAGTTCTCCACTCCTGAGGTATATGATATATCAGTGGGAGTGTGTGATCTCAGAATTCAGAAGATCTGACCTGGAAACCCTACTTCAGCTACAACTTGTAACGTTTAGATTAATAACTTTAATTACTCATCCCCTTTCCTAAAGTGAGTTAAGGAAAGTGTTTTAAAGATAGCCACTCATGACAAGGATTGCCATTGTTTAAAATAAGGAAAGCATTCAAAATAGCCATTACCTGACTCAATCAGACATACCTGACTCATTCAGACATATGCCTAAACTAAGTAGCTTAATATTTGATGGAAACATTTAAAATTATAGGCATAACACATTAGAATTAGAACATAAGATTTGAAATAAGGTAATAAATTGCGGAATATAACTTTTGTCCGGAGAACGCAGGAAAGGGAGACGTGAGGAAGTCCAGAGGGCTATGAAAAAATGTATGAAAGGCTGTGATTTTTTATTCTTTTTTCTGTATACTTTCTTTGTCTGTTATATGTTTGGTGATTTTCTTTTCTTAAAAAATGCAATAAAAATATTTTTTTAAAAAATAGCCATTACCTTATAAGCAAACAGAATCAGGTATATTTTCATCACATTAAGGGGAAAAAACATGCTACACAACTACCCACACAGAACAAAAATAATGCATTTATGGAGCCAGCAAGTTGGCTGATGTGTGCTCGGTTTAGCAACCATATGCTGTGACATACTTGCCTACTACAAAACATTGGAAAACGTGGAGCTAGAAATGGAAAGAGAGGCGACAATCTCTGCCATTGGAACATATGCTGAGAGAAAGAATTGCCTATTTTGAGTCTCTCTTGACCCAAGAAGCATTAGTCAATATGTCTGAATGAGTCAGTTTCTTCTGCATTTCTAGAAACCATATAGGTAAGCGGAAATGTTCATTAGGTAATTAGGACAATGTGGAGCTTTCACTTACACAAGCCAAAAAGAAAAGCAATTAGGAAAGGCAGACAATGTGGAGCTCTACGTACACGAGCCAGGAGAGAAGGTTGCAAACCTTTGACACACCTGCTGCAGTGTAAGCCTCACTGAACTCTGGACTCACTCAGGACTGGCTCCATTAGACAGAGTGAAGCAGCTGCCTCAGGCAACAGATGCTGTAGGGAAGCAGAGGAAGGCAGCAGGGTATTGAGAGGGCAACAATATATGGAGGGCACCAGACTGGTTACCTCTGGTGTAAGCAACACTGAACTAGACAGTCTGTTTTGGTATAAGACAGGCTCCTAATGCTTTGACAGTGCAGTCCTTAGACATTCTTCCATAAAGAGCAGTTATTGTTATTAAGCACAGCAACTCAAGCCACCTACTTATGCTCCAAAGAGAGAGTGCAGAAGAGGCGGACAGGGCAAAGATGGCTTAACAGATATCTCATCATTACTAATAAGCATTGAAATGCTCACTTCTTACTAAAAGGAAAAGGGTAAGCTCAATAAAACTATTACTTGGTGGACCAAAAATTGGGCTTGGGGTGCTCAGGGAACTGCTTCCTTCATTCTAGTACAACCTCCCCACTAGATTGTTTTTTTTATAGATAACAGCAAGTGTAGCTTGCTTGAAGGTAACAATTTCATACGGAAATGCCCTAGGAATTCCTTTCATTTGCGGTTCCCTCATTTCCTCCTGCAGCTGACATGTTTCCATGAGAACTGCAGAGAGAAGAAAAAGTGAGCTCCAAAGGCAGTTCCAGCAACCATCCCAATGCCTATTTGTGTTTCACTTATACAACACAGGCTGAGAGAGGAAGAAAACAAATCTATAATTTACTGAATTTCAAAAACGAGTGGGTGGAAAATCTAGCTAAGTCAGACACAGGCTTGCAGTTCCCCAGGCAGAGATGTTTGCTCTGCAGAATTTGCAAGGAGGCTCTTTATGCAAAGATTTTAAGCTCATTTGTCTTTCCCAGAAATTAGCGCGCTCCCCCCCCCTGCCCCCGATTCTTCTGGGGATAAGCTCCAATGCTCAGTTTGTGTAATGAAAGAGCCCCAATGAGTTAAACAACTTTTGGGGAAAGGATTTGAAAAAAGGGTGGTAGGTATACGGTGATTACGGTGTGGTACTCAACTCCTGTAGAATAATAATTAAGAGGAATTGTGGCTGTTCTTTGACACTGTTGGTAAGCTAGCTAGTGCTGAAATCCACGATCCAGGAAGTTCTGTCAGATGCTCTGGGGCCTTTGATGGCAGGGCTGGGGATTGGTTTGGTTTGGATGGTTGAAACCCCAAATACAAAATGCTGCTTGACTAATGAAGTTCATTGGCTGACCTTGATCTGTTGTCACCATAACCTACCTTAGAAGGTAGCTATGAGAATATAACTCAGAGTCCCTTGGAGGAAAGTGGGATGTAATAGTAATGAATTAAACAAAATGAAGCTTCTCTGAACTGAGCAACAGTGGATCAATATTTCTGTAAGACAACAAAAGGGAGCAATAAGGCTAAACAGGAGGAAGATTCAATCTAGTAAAAGCCCAGTCACTGCAAATTCATTCCCCAGCAGCTGCTACAATGATCCAAACAGCAAGATTCAAGAGAATTTCCATGGTATCATTTACTTTTATTGATAAGGTAAAAGGTAAAGGTACCCCTGCCCGTACGGGCCAGTCTTGACAGACTCTAGGGTTGTGCGCCCATCTCACTCAAGAGGCCGGGGGCCAGCGCTGTCCGGAGACACTTCCGGGTCACGTAGCCAGCGTGACATGGCTGCTCTGGCGAGCCAGAGCCGCACACGGAAACGCCGTTTACCTTCCCGCCAGTAAGCGGTCCCTATTTATCTACTTGCACCCGGGGGTGCTTTCGAACTGCTAGGTTGGCAGGCGCTGGGACCGAACAACGGGAGCGCACCCCGCCGCGGGGATTCGAACCGCCGACCTTTCGATCGGCAAGCCCTAGGCGCTGAGGCTTTTACCCACAGCGCCCTCTATACAGTCATCCCTCAGGTTACAGATGCTTCAGGTTGCGTGCTTTCAGGTTGAGCACCGCACTGAACCCGGAAGTACCAGAACAGGTTACTTCCGGGTTTTGGCGCTTGCGCATGCACAGAAGTGCCGAATCGTGACCCGCATGTGTGCAGATGTAGCGCTGCAGGTTGCGAACGCTGCAGGTTGGAAACGTGCCTCCCGCACGGATCACGTTCGCAAGCCGAGCGTCCACTGTATTCTTGATGTACACAGATGCTAACTTTGCTCTTAAAAAACAACCACCACCAATGATCACAGGTCCTGTATAGAACCGAGAATATTAATCTTATTGGTTGAATAAGCAGAGGCCAGAAGCTCAGCTGGTGTGAGCCACACAGCTGAGTAACCACCAGCAACGGTTGCAGTATTTGGGTTATTTTAAGGTTTTAGCTCTTAAAAAGAGAAAGAGATACCTTTGGACTCAGCAGCAGCCACAGCTTTCTCGTTGCCCTTTCAGCAGTTGGAAAGCAAGCAAGGCACACACTTCAAAGATTCAACAAGATCTTGCACTTAAAAAAACAACCACTAGCTATTTCTATGGTCCACTTCCCCAGGGAATTATATTCTGCAGTTTCAGCAATGTGTTTACATTGTCTCTTTTCAAGTTATGCAAAGAATAGGAGGGAAGGGACATAAAACCCCAATTTATAGCCTGCCAATTGATGCATGCCCAAAGCAGTGACAGGAGAACAAGCTTTACAATCCCTGAGGAGAAAGGAGCAGGTTACCGTATGAATACATTGCAACACATTGATTAGGTCAATCCCACCCAGGGAAGGCTATGCTTGATCTCTCTTGAAAGTCAGCTTTATTCTTTTTAAAATAACAACACTCCCCCATGATTCTACATTTTTTGAAGAAATCCAATGCCTCGGAAGGAATTCAACGTAGGGCTGAGCAGATTACCCCACCAGAGCAAGCATTTTTGCTTGCCAGATGGAAGAATCCACCCCCCTTCACCATCCCACCCCCATGCACTCTTCCGGGGGGTACTCCCCAATCCCCCCACAATTGTGGGTGATGGAACAAACAGGGGGAGGAGAAGAAGAAAAGCCCCATAGCACTAGAGGATGTCTTGGTCCTCATTGCTGGATGACGAATGAAAACAAATCACACAGGTGCTTAAAAAGCTAACCACCTCCAGCAAAATAAATAAATCACTTTGTTACGTTCTGTTTCAAGATGAATTGAAGGATATCATTTGAGAGCCCAGGCAATTGCTTTCTTTCCTCCAAACTAACTCTGGTTTCCGTGGGAATGGAAAAGCAGGTGTTGCTGGAGCGTTGAGGAAACACCTTGTTCTCATCTCGGTTCAAAACCAGCTGGGCCATTTGGAGACTCTTCTGTGCGTACGTCATTCCTTCTTTGCCTGCCAGCTCTGCAATTTTGACAGACAGGCACTGGGAAGCCGCTTCGTAGGCTGAACTCCCTCCAAACGGCTTCTTCTGGCAGCAAGTCCCATAAAACTTATCCAGAGCTTGTCTGATGGCGGGGGGCCCTTCCTCTGTTTGCTCACATGTCCAAGACAAGGGTAGTTGACTAGGCTGAGGTAGCTCACCATCCACACAGTTGCTTGGCTCTGCCTTCTCACATCGTCTAGGCCTCCAAGCTACGCTGGTTCCAACTGTGTGCGCTATGAAGACGGCATTATCTGGGTCTGCCAGGAAAGAAGTTGCAAAGACATATTATTCATACTGAAGTAAGGAAAGGGAAATACAAAAAGCTGACCAGTTTTGTTTTGTTCTTGAAATCATTTTTATTTGATTCTATAAATATAAATTTATTACAATACCCATTACATATCCATGAGATTTCTCTGAATCTCAAGACTTCCCCCCATCCCCTCCCTGGGTCCTGTTGTTAACATTTCCAACTGCATATTATTTTATAGTCTATGTTTTGTATCTATCCATATTATCCATAGTATTTGTTACATTACAAGTGAGGTTAAAATCCTGCTAATGTTTTCATCTGCTTACAGTGCTCTCCTAAATAAATTATAATTTTTTCTCATTGGTTTCTGAGCTTTCAGGTTTGCCATTTCAGCATAGTCTATAACAGCTTGGTTTGCCATTCGTCTCTGGTAGGGGATGGAGGGGGTTCCTTAAAGTGTTCCTTACCCTTGCCCTGCTAAACTGGTTCAGAGATAACAGTGATGTTATAAGATGGGGCCATAGTTTGACTCCATTAAGGCACATTCATATGGTATCCAGTATTAGCTCAGTTAGAAGAACATGTGACTCTTAACCTCAGGGTCATGGGTTCAAGCCCCACATTGGGCAAAAGATTCCTGCATTGCAGGGAATTGGATTAGAGGATCCATTCCAATTCTATAATTCTATTATTTTCATGACACAAGGGATCAAAATGGATGCTCTGCCATCCCCATGACGGCCCCTCATCAGTGGCTCAAAATCCCACAGCATTACAAAACACAACAATGCCAAAATGAAATTTTGATGTTTATCTGCTAGGAGTTCCTGTATCACTTGAATGCTGTGGCTGAAATGATGTGAGCTTCCTTGGGGAAATAAGATGTTTAGAAGTGTTTATAATTTTCATTGAAAATGAGGGTAGTTTGTTTAATAAAGCCAAACAACAAAGCAGGATGGGAATGTTGCCGGTTTTGAGGGCTTTTAAGTTTCCTGTAAAAATGTACATTTGCAAAAGAGCAATAATTGCTCAACTAGCTGGCTATATACATAATGACCCATCCAAGATGACTGTAGATATGCATACAAACACATTATACGTACATTAACATGAGTAATACATAAGTTATTGCTGTGCTAGATTTTATGCTATGCTGAAGCTCAAACTACTTGATTAGTCATTTGTTAATTTCCTCTGCGCTCTTCATCTTGTTTCAAAAAATGAAAAGTGGCTATAGGAGACTGGAATCTTCAGCATTGCATTGAGAGGGAGGAGCAGCTACTAAACCCTTTCCCCTAAATTTTTTACCCCCCCATTCAAATTTAATGGAAGATAGGGCTATCAAAGACTACTGGGACAGTCCAGTCAGGTGGGTGGGGTACAATTGTTGTTGTTGTTGTGGTGGTTGTTGTTGTTATGATTTACTACCACTAGCCATGATGGCTGTGCTCCACCTCCACAGCTGGAGGCAGCAATGCTTCTGAATACAGTGGTACCTCGGGTTACAGATGCTTCAGGTTACAGACATTTCAGGTTACAGACTCCGCTAACCCAGAAATAGTACCTCGGGTTAAGAATGTTACTTCAGGATGAGAACAGAAATCGCACGCCGGTGGCACGATGGCAGCAGGAGGCCCCAGTAGCTAAAGTGGTACCTCAGGTTAAGAACAGTTTCAGGTTAAGAACGGACCTCCAGAACAAATTACGTTCTTAACCCAAAGTACCACTGGAAACCATGGGAGGGAAGAGTGCTCTTGTGGTCATGTTCTGCCCCCTGGTTTCCCACAGGCCTCTGGTGGGCTCTTGTGAGAACTGGAGGCTGAACTAGATGGCCGGATCCAGCAGGCTATTTTTATGAAATCACATTATTTTTTAAAATCACACCCAGGGTTGCTTTTCTCTCTGTGGGAGAAAAGGTATGGGACTACCCCATGCGCAGTAAAGCAGTTTGTGGTGTGGGGGGCACTTTTCAGAAGGCAAAGAGGTGGAAAGAGAAGCAGTGTGAAGACCCTTTCTGAATCGCAGGCCCCACCTGCATTATACATTTCAAACACCAATATAGCACTGGAAGCAGTAATGGCTTTCCCCAGGAAATCCTGAGACCTGTCACTTGTTAATGGTGTCGAAAGTTTGATTGTCAAAACTGGAATCTGTTAGAAGACCCCTGTACAGTGGTACCTCGGGTTAAGAACTTAATTCGTTCTGGAGGTCCGTTCTTAACCCAAAACTGTTCTTAACCTGAAGCACCACTTTAGCTAATGGGGCCTCCCGCTGCCGCTGCTGCCACCCTGCCGCCGCCGCACAATTTCTTATCCTGAAGCAAAGTTGTTAACCCAAGGTACTATTTCTGGGTTAGTGGAGTCTGTAACCTGAAGCGTCTGTAACCCGAGGTACCACTGTATTATGAAACAGGGGTCTTCTAACCAGCAGTGGAGCGTGTCTCCATGCGTGTCTCTGATCCGGATCCGGGTGCTTTCAATGGGCCCCTGAAGGCAGTGGCGAGGCGACAAAAGGCCTACCACATTCCCATGCTAGCAACCCCCAACAGCCTGGCAAGGGTGGGATCGGGGAGGGCAGCACCACTGCGAGAAAAATGCAACAACCACATGCTGCACAAGTCACTGTCCTTTCCTACATACCGTATTTTTCTCTCTATTACACGCAGATTTTTTCTCCTAAAAAGGAAGGGGAAATGTCTGTGCGTGTTATTGAGCGAATGTGGGGGGTCCCTGGAGCCGATTAGGGGAGCACAGGAACAAAAATCAGCAAAAATCAAATCGTGTGTTGCGTCGGAGAGGGAAACCTGAAAAGAAGAAGTTGCTGCTTTCCTGCATTCTGCCTCAGGGTCTTACTGCCCACTCGCTTGTGTTTCATTGCTGTGTTTGCTCAAACGGAACAAAGAGCAGGCAAATCCCCTCCCCTCCAGGCAAGCAGAGGGGAAAGCAGATGTCTTTCCTTCTAATTCCTCTCCGTGCTCCTCGCAGGCAGCCAGAAAACATGCAGGAGAGAGAGAGCTGGCTTCGGTTTGGGGAAACTTTTGCCTTT